ATGTAAGTGATTCATGTTTACTATCTACATCAATGGATGATATTTAACTCAAGATTGAAAGTCTGGAGAAATAAGCAAGCTGTGAAAGTTCTGACTTCTTTTCAATTTGACGTCTTTTCAAATTAAAATTTAGAAGACCAGAAATGCAGCCAGTTTGATACCCCTCAGTATTGGTAAAGGAAGTTGAGTTAACCCTGAAGATATTACCAAGAAGTTTGTGTGCTGTGAGGAGGATGAGGGTGCATTGTGGAGTTGTAATATAATAAATTTATTTTCATAGAGCACCTTTGTAACTGTAATAAATATAAAAAGGTTAAAGTAATTTTTGCTTATAGAAAAGGGGGTAATAAGATATATAGGAAAGACAAAGGCTTATATGCTGTTTTTGTATCTTGTATGTATAATAACTTACTGTTATTCATCCTCAGTTCAAAGACATCAAAGCTTTAATTTTGTGACATGCTGTGGGGGTGTAGACAACTTTTGTAATGTGGGTGCTATTGTATGTCTATTTTTTATACATTTTTTTTTTTTTTTTTTTTTTTTTTTATATATTCCCTAGGCTTCATTAGAAATATAATGTGTATTTAGAATATACGAACTACAGCTGACGTTATTGGATCTCCTTTGTCCTTTATGGTTTCTGTGTATTAAGATTCTTAAAGCAACTGTTAAAGATGTCAAACACACACAAAATAAATATGTAACAATTACAGGAGCAACTTATTTAAGTATTGATACTGACCTGAAGATATGTATTTTAGTTGACACTTAGATATATTTGAGTGGTTTACAGCATCATATAAGTTTGTATCATAAAAGTTTAAGAAGTTGACTTTGGTATAACTGTCCTTTCTGCAAATACTAATATACAATAATAATGGAAACAGTTATTTGGTATTACACAGGCATTATTTTATATATATTTGTGCTTAATGAAAATAAAACTTGCCACTACAAATAACTATGATAATTAATGTTAATAAATATACTGTATATTTACTTGTGTCCTTTTCCATAAATATACTTTTAACCCATTGCCGCCAGGGAAATTGAACAAAAAATGGGGGAAATTCTGTACTCATTTTTTATATTTTTGTGAAATATCTCTGTCCATAGATGGCTCTGCTAGTCCTGATTTCACCTTTCCTTGAATTGGCGGGAAAAAAACGTATTTTTACTAGTGCTATAAATATAGATGGTGTTATTTTTGACAGCAAATTAGGATAATGTCAAATGTTTTCGTAAATCGATGAAAAGGGGGAACAGGCGAGACAGGCAGTTCTCGTAATTGGCTCATTGGATACTTAGTACAAGTGTAGCCATCTATGTGTAAAAACAATCAAACAAGTCGACTCACAGTGGGCATGGCATGTACGTACATGCCATCCCCGGCGGCAATGGGTTAATGTCTAGCATAAAGAAGATAAAAGAACAGTATATAAAGTTATACATCAGTTTGCTTGTGCTGTATTGGATTGTGAGGGAAATTCTGATTACCATATTACCCAGTTGTAAACAAGGAAAAAATATCAATTTTAAAGTTTAATTTTGAATACTCTGTTAATGCTGACTATATATAAAAATAGAAATGCAAAAATTTGATACTATGGTAGCAATAAAAAGGGACTTTCTTGCCTGAAAGCCACACTTGTAATGCCTAAACCAAATAAAAGTTCTAGACATCCATGGTAAAGTATGGTGGAAAAAGGTAAAAATGATTTAATTATTAGGATAAAGTATTTGTCTCTCGAGAATTAAGAGGAACATTGTATGAGGAGTGGTTATCAGAGGAGGAGGAGGAGAATAAGGAAGGAAGGTGATGAAGTATCACAAAGAATGTCAGGAGGAAAAGGATGCAGAGAAGGACACTGTATTGACATAAGGGAGTCATATAAACAACCAGTTGGAAGCAGTAAGGATATATGGGAAAGAAGAGGGGATGGTGCACATGGAGAAAGGGGAGGATGGGGGGTGTGCTGGGAGAGAATGGGAGGAAGGGATGTAGGGGGAACTTGAGGATGGATATTGACAACTACTTTGAATGTAGAGGAAATTAGAATAGAGAGATGGAGGGTGGATGAGAGAGAGGAAATTTCTCTTGGGTCATGTTTGGGAAGTTTTGGATGTCAAGAGTTTCTGGAGGGGAGTTGGATGGAGAGTTCTAAGAACAGGTTTTCTTGGGAAGAGGAGACAGATGTCCAAGGACTCAGGAAAAGGTGGGTGTAGGAGAAGATGAAGTAGAATGTTTAGATTGCTTGGGAACACAGGTAAAGTGAGGAGGAGGGGCAAGTATTGGGGAAGTGGTAGAGACTGGACATTTCTGACACTGACTGGGAGAGGGTAGGATATGGTTGGGCAGGGCAAGACGCTTCATCAATATAAACTTCATGGGGAAGGCCATGTATATGAAAGCTAATCTTGGCAATATTGATGTAGAACTTTGCTGGTTCTGAGAGGAATTATAAGCAAGTGACCACCCGCAAGCCACCAGAATAAGAACGAGACATGAGATGGAGTTGAGCTGTCAATGAAAGGGGTCTTAGCTTGATGGTTTATTGTTGAAGATAGATACGAGATCCCCCATGTCCCTGGGTGGAGGACAAACTGGTGGAGCTGGACCCTGTGTGGCTTGGCCTGTCTGCTGTGTCTCTCTCTCTTCATCTTACCCATGTGCCTTTTTATGTGGCGGTTCCCTTGGAGGGAGGATATTTATTCCTGTGTGAAAAGAGAAAGCCAGGCAACATCTGCATCCTGCCCAAGGAGAAGGGCAGCAGCTTGGATGGAGGTGTGAAGTGTACATCTGGTCTTGTTGTATTGTTGACAGGAATAGTGTAGCACTGTACTGCTACTGCATCATAGTCAATGAGGCAGGCAAGCAGACCATTTTCACAGTCTGATCAGTCCTTGTCAATCAGCCAGGGAGATAGAATAAGCTCCAGTACAAGTATTAAGGAGCAGTGAGGTTGGGCAGGAATAGATTTGCCACTGGGGTCAGTTAGGATTGATAGTACACAATCTTGGGACTCGGATGTAGCTCTCCCCTACGATCTGGATGACGTGGCTTGAGGGATGGGTGATATGAACATGCCATCATGGGAAAATTTGGCTGAAGGCTGGGGTGACGGAGACTCAGTGGGCATTTAGGAGGGGCTTTTGCATTATTACCATCAATAAATGAGTGTGGAAAATATTATCTGTTAGCCATGACTGGTTGGAGGGAGGGAGGGAGAGAGAGGGAGAGAGAGAGAGAGAGAGAGAGGGAGAGAGAGAGAGAGAGAGAGAGAGAGAGAGAGAGAGAGAGAGAGAGAGAGAGGAGAGGGAAGAGAGAGAGAGAGAGAGGAGAGGGAAGAGAGAGAGAGAGAGAGGAGAGGGAAGAGAGAGAGAGAGAGAGGAGAGGGAAGAGAGAGAGAGAGAGGAGAGGGAGGAGAGAGAGAGAGAGAGGAGAGGGAAGAGAGAGAGAGAGAGAGAGAAGAGAGAGAGAGAGAGAGAGAAGAGAGAGAGAGAGAGAGAGAGAGAGGAGAGGGAAGAGAGAGAGAGAGAGAGAGAGAGAGGAGAGGGAAGAGAGAGAGAGAGAGAGAGAGAGAGGAGAGGGAAGAGAGAGAGAGAGAGAGAGAGAGGAGAGGGAAGAGAGAGAGAGAGAGAGAGAGAGGAGAGGGAAGAGAGAGAGAGAGAGAGAGAGAGAGGAGAGGGAAGAGAGAGAGAGAGAGAGAGAGAGAGGAGAGGAAGAGAGAGAGAGAGAGAGAGAGAGGAGAGGAAGAGAGAGAGAGAGAGAGAGGAGAGGGAAGAGAGAGAGAGAGAGAGAGAGAGGAGAGGGAAGAGAGAGAGAGAGAGAGAGAGAGGAGAGGGAAGAGAGAGAGAGAGAGAGAGAGAGGAGAGGGAAGAGAGAGAGAGAGAGAGAGAGAGGAGAGGGAAGAGAGAAGAGAGAGAGAGAGAGGAGAGGGAAGAGAGAGAGAGAGAGAGAGAGAGAGGAGAGGGAAGAGAGAGAGAGAGAGAGAGAGAGGAGAGGGAAGAGAGAGAGAGAGAGAGAGAGAGGAGAGGAGAGAGAGAGAGAGAGGAGAGGAGAGAGAGAGAGAGAGGAGAGGGAAGAGAGAGAGAGAGAGAGAGAGAGAGGAGAGGGAAGAGAGAGAGAGAGAGAGGAGAGGGAAGAGAGAGAGAGAGAGAGAGAGAGGAGAGGGAAGAGAGAGAGAGAGAGAGAGAGAGGAGAGGGAAGAGAGAGAGAGAGAGAGAGAGAGAGGAGAGGGAAGAGAGAGAGAGAGAGAGAGAGGAGAGGGAAGAGAGAGAGAGAGAGAGAGAGAGAGGAGAGGGAAGAGAGAGAGAGAGAGAGAGAGAGAGAGGAGAGGGAAGAGAGAGAGAGAGAGAGAGAGGAGAGGGAAGAGAGAGAGAGAGAGAGAGAGAGGAGAGGGAAGAGAGAGAGAGAGAGAGAGAGAGGAGAGGGAAGAGAGAGAGAGAGAGAGAGAGGAGAGGGAAGAGAGAGAGAGAGAGAGAGAGGAGAGGGAAGAGAGAGAGAGAGAGAGAGAGGAGAGGGAAGAGAGAGAGAGAGAGAGAGAGAGAGAGAGAGGAAGAGAGAGAGAGAGAGAGAGAGAGAGGAGAGAGAGAGAGAGAGAGAGAGAGAGAGAGAGAGAGAGAGAGAGAGAGAGAGAGAGAGAGAGAGAGAGAGAGAGAGAGAGAGAGAGAGAGAGAGAGAGGAGAGGGAAGAGAGAGAGAGAGAGAGAGAGGAGAGAGGAAGAGAGAGAGAGAGAGAGAGAGAGGAGAGGGAAGAGAGAGAGAGAGAGAGAGAGAGAGAGAGGAGAGAGAGAGAGAGAGAGAGAGAGAGGAGAGGAGAGAGAGAGAGAGAGAGAGAGAGGAGAGGGAAGAGAGAGAGAGAGAGAGAGAGAGGAGAGGAAGAGAGAGAGAGAGAGAGAGAGAGGAGAGGAAGAGAGAGAGAGAGAGAGAGAGAGGAGAGGGAAGAGAGAGAGAGAGAGAGAGAGAGGAGAGGGAAGAGAGAGAGAGAGAGAGAGAGGAGAGGGAAGAGAGAGAGAGAGAGAGAGAGGAGAGGGAAGAGAGAGAGAGAGAGAGAGAGGAGAGGGAAGAGAGAGAGAGAGAGAGAGAGAGAGGGAAGAGAGAGAGAGAGAGAGAGAGAGGAGAGGGAAGAGAGAGAGAGAGAGAGAGAGAGAGAGAGAGAGAGAGAGAGGAGAGGGAAGAGAGAGAGAGAGAGAGAGAGGAGAGGAAGAGAGAGAGAGAGAGAGAGAGAGGAGAGGGAAGAGAGAGAGAGAGAGAGAGAGAGGAGAGAGAGAGAGAGAGAGAGAGAGGAGAGGGAAGAGAGAGAGAGAGAGAGAGAGGAGAGGGAAGAGAGAGAGAGAGAGAGAGAGAGGAGAGGGAAGAGAGAGAGAGAGAGAGAGAGAGGAGAGGGAAGAGAGAGAGAGAGAGAGAGAGAGAGGAGAGGGAAGAGAGAGAGAGAGAGAGAGAGGAGAGGAAGAGAGAGAGAGAGAGAGAGAGGAGAGGGAAGAGAGAGAGAGAGAGAGAGAGAGGAGAGGGAAGAGAGAGAGAGAGAGAGAGAGAGAGGAGAGGGAAGAGAGAGAGAGAGAGAGAGAGAGAGAGAGAGAGAGAGAGAGAGAGAGAGAGAGAGAGAGAGAGAGAGAAGAGAGAGAGAGAGGGAAAGAGAGAGAGGAGAGAGAAGGGAGGGGAAAGATAGAGAGAGAGGCCTCGGAGGAGAGAGAGAGAGAGAGAGGGAAGAGAGAGAAGAGAGAGAGGAGATAAGAGAGAGAGAGGAGAGAGGGACATGAGAGAGAGAGAGAGGGAAAGAGAGAGAGAGAGAGGAGAGAGAGAGAGAGGAGGGGGAAACGAGAGAGAGAGGAGAGGGAAGAGAGAGGGAGAGGGAAGAGAGAGCAGAGAGTGGGAAGGAGGAGAGAGAGAGGGAAAGAGAGAGAGAGAGAGGAGAAGCAGAGTGTAGAGAGAGAGGGAAAGAGAGAGAGAGCGAGAGGGAAGGAGAGAGAGAGAGAGGAAAGAGAGAGAGAGA